CCTGCTGCTGCTGCTCCTGCTGCTGCTGCTGATGATGATGTTGAGGGTGCTGCTGCTGCTGCTGCTGCTGTTGCTGCTGCATGCGGGAGCTGCTGCTGCTCTTCCTCCTGCATTTGCTGCAGCGCGAGCAGCAGATTGGGATCGTCTCCATTGCAGCAGCTCATCGCGAACTGCTGCTGCTGCAGTTCCTGCTGCAGTCCCTGCTGCTGCTGCTGCTGCTGCTGCTGCTGCTGCTGCTGCTGCTGCTGCTGCCAGCAGGCTCTCTTGCCCCCCAGGTGTCTGCGCAGACACCCCAGCGCAGGCTGCAGTGTATAGGCAGCAGAACTAAACTGCAGCGACAGCAAACCAACGGCATCCTTGAACGAACTCTCCAGCAGCTGCAGCGTCCCCTGCAGCAGCAGCAGCAGCAGCAGCAGCAACAGCAGCAGCAGCAACAGCAGCAGCAGCAGCAACAGCAGCAGCAGAAACAGCAGCAGCAGAGCACATTTAATCCATTACTGATAGGAAAGAAAACAACGGGGGGAGATGAGCCCTCATGCTGCTGCTGCTGCTGCTGCTGCTGCTGCTGCTTCTGCTGCTGCTGCTGCTGCTGCTATGTGACTCTCCTAGTGCAGCGAAACCCAACCCACAGCAGCCGCAGCAGCAACATAGCCAGCAGCAGCAACATAAACAGCAGCAGCAGCGCTAGCAGCAGCAGCAGCACCAGCAGCAGCAGTAGCAGCATCAGCAGCAGCACCAGCAGCAGCACCACCACCAGCATCCCCAGCAGCATCAGCAGCAGCAACAGCATCAGCATCAGCATCAGCACCACCAGCACCAGCAGCAGCATCAGCAGCACCACCAGCACCAGCAGCAGCATCAGCAGCAGCAACAGCAGCAGCAGCAGCAGCAGCAGCAGCAGCAGACCTCAACAGCTCCGCTGCGTTCTAGGAGTGCAGCAGTGAGCTCAAGGGCTTTATGCTGCGCCGCCAGCAGCAGCAGCTGCTCCACCAGCTCCCCCGGGATCGCCTCCTCCGGCGGCAGCAGCTGCTGCAGCACTGCTGCAGCACGAGAACGATCCAAGCAGCATAAGAGAGAGAAATACCTGCAGCACCAGCAGCAGCAGCAACAGCAGCAGCAGCAGCAGCAGCAGCAGCAGCA